ACCTGAGGGCTGAGCGACAGTTGAAGAAAATATGTGACGGTATTATCGATTGCTATGATATGAGCGATGAGATGGACTGCCCGTACTGTAAGGGCAGTTACGTCTGTCCGCAAAGCAATGTATGCATCGATAAGAGTAAGGTTTGTAACGGCGATAACGACTGTCCCAATGGGGACGACGAAAGCGAATGCATATCATTGGTGCCCAACGACCAGACACTGGACCAAACGGGTCGGTACTTCAACTCTGAGGGCGTCCTTTACATACGCCAGAAGGGAAAGTGGGCTCCGCTTTGTATGGATGACATCTCCATGAATAACGACTTAGACATCGAGCGGAGTCGACGACCCGAAGACATGTGGAAGATTGACGACTTGGGTAAAGCCATCTGTCGGGCCAACTCTTTCGGCGAACTGAACGACATTCAACTCACGAGTCTCGACGGCTATCAGTCCAACGAGTTCTTCAAAATGGAACCGTTCAGTGACCGCATCTCACCATCACTTTCCATGTAATTATTATCAAATTCTTTGTTCAAAACATTAATGATAAGAAAAGCATTGAAATGTGTGTTTTCATTGTATTGTGCATCAAATGTATTCACAATTCATTTGCATTCAATTCTCAATTCATGTATATATTTATGAAAAAACCTGAGGGCTGAGCGACAGTTGAAGAAAATATGTGACGGTATTATCGATTGCTATGATATGAGCGATGAGATGGACTGCCCGTACTGTAAGGGCAGTTACGTCTGTCCGCAAAGCAATGTATGCATTGATAAGAGTAAGGTTTGTAACGGCGATAACGACTGTCCCAATGGGGACGACGAAAGCGAATGCATATCATTGGTGCCCAACGACCAGACACTGGACCAAACGGGTCGGTACTTCAACTCCGAGGGCGTCCTTTACATACGCCAGAAGGGAAAGTGGGCTCCGCTTTGTATGGATGACATCTCCATGAATAACGACTTAGACATCGAGCGGAGCCGACGGCCCGAAGACATGTGGAAGATTGACGACTTGGGTAAAGCCATCTGTCGGGCCAACTCTTTCGGCGAATTGAACGACATTCAGCTCACGAGTCTCGACGGCTATCAGCCCAACGAGTTCTTCAAAATGGAACCGTTCAGTGACCGCATCTCACCGTCACTTTCCATGTAATTATTATTAAATTCTTTGTTCAAAACATTAATGATAAGAAAAGCATTGAAATGTGTGTTTTCATTGTATTGTGCATCAAATGTATTCACAATTCATTTGCATTCAATTCTCAATTCATGTATATATTTATGAAAATGAATGGTATTTTTTTCAGGTGGAGTTCGCTCTTCGAGAAGTCTGAATGTGTGTCGAAGAGAACCACTTATGTTAAGTGCAAGAATTTCGGTGAGAGACAGATATTATCATTGTTTTTGTAACTATTATTTTTGGTGAACAAACAACGAAACCAATCCTAAGGTCTACTATAATATATTAATACCTGTTTTTACCTGCAAATACCCCACACCCCATCCGACCCGACCCAACCCCACCATTCCCTATGCCATTATCGCTATCGCAGAATGTGGTGTACGGCCGGTGGCTAACGGAGTGCGGCGACGGATAATCGGGGGTCAGAGTTCATCGCAAGGCTCGTGGCCCTGGACTGTGGCCCTCTATAGGGAGGGCGAGTTCCAGTGCGGGGGAGTTATTATTGATGACCAATGGCTTCTCACAGCCGCACATTGTTTTCATGCGTGAGTTTCGATCCGTATTTGTTATGCAAAATAAAAAACTTTTACAACTTTTTAAATTTAGTTACGGCACTAAAACTTGAATTTTTAAACAAGATTTACGTTTTGATGTGCTTTTAGTAAATGTCTTAAAAAGTCCATAAAATGCTAAATAACAACATCTCTCTGTCTATGGAGGGCCGGTGCGTAAGCCTTAGGCGCGTATTCTTCCCACTTGAAGATGTTAAGTTATGCGCTGGGCTTACCCTCTCTTTTACTCTCTCTCTCTCTCTCTCTCTCTCTCACCAGACAATCAGAACCTGACGTAAGAAACGCTT